ATCATCCTCAAGGAGTTACCATCTCGAGGAGTTACCATCCTCAAGGAGTACCATCCTCAAGGTGTTATCATCCTCAGGAGTTACCATCCTCGAGGAGTTACCATCCTCATGAGGTTACCATCCTCGAGGAGTTACCATCCTCGAGGAGTTACCATCCTCAAGGTATTATCATCCTCAAGGAGTTACCATCCTGAGGAGTTACCATCCTCGAGGAGTTACCATCCTCAAGGAGTTACCATCCTCGAGGAGTTACCATCCGAGGAGTTACCATCCTCAAGGTGTTATCATCCTCAAGGAGTTACCATCCTCGAGGAGTTACCATCCTCAAGGTGTTATCATCCTCAAGGAGTTACCATCCTCGAGGAGTTACCATCCCCAAGGTGTTATCATCCTCAAGGAGTTACCATCCTCGAGGAGTTACCATCCTCAAGGTGTTATCATCCTCAAGGAGTTACCATCCTCGAGGAGTTACCATCCTCAAGGTGTTATCATCCTCAAGGAGTTACCATCCTCCAGGAGTTACCATCCTCGAGGAGTTACCATCCTCGAGGAGTTACCATCCTCAAGGAGTTACCATCCTCAAAGAGTTACCATCAATAAGGGATTAAAGAGTTCCATGTTCCCGGGTTTAAATCTTGGCTGTGTTATCTTGTTAATTCTTGGTGGTGGCATTGTCTTGTCCTTCAGTAAACGGTAAGATAAGTCACCCTAAGGATTCCAAGGTCCAGGATGGTCCTTCGTAGAGAAAGTTCACGAGGCGGTGATCCGGGTGTGACTGAAGACCTACGGGGAGTGTTACAGTATCTCTCTTCAGCTGGTGATATGGAAGTCATTAAGCCATAGAGTAAAAAAATATATATATATATACCAAATAAAATAATAACGTACCCCGTCAGCAACACCTGCATGGCAACAATTATTGCCACATCCCACAAGACTCTTCCTATTGGCGGGCCGCGGGACAAACCAGAAATACAATCATCAGACGGTCTGGGTCACCCTGCTTCAATTCCCTGTTAGGTACCAAGCGTGGGTGAGCGGCGGTGCGTCCCCCCTCATAGAGTAACTTCATCTCAAACCACCAACAGTGAAGGAGACGGTGAGGTATGTCCTGATTCCAAGATGCCAGCCAGGGAGGGAGCTGTGGTACAGAGGTCTCTGGGAATACCTACCCACGACGGCCTCCCCCATCCCAAAGACGACCCGTCCTCCGCCCACAGTCAAGGACACTTACACCGGGTACAGGCTCAGGCGACAGCAACGGTGCTTTGGTAAAACAAGACTACAATACGTATCACCAGCACTGCTAGTGTAGTGACGCCCCTCCTCCAGGCAGCACCTTCATCATCTCTGGTCTTCGTCTCAGTAATATGCATAACACACACTGCCTTACAGATTCTGATGAAGATTACGGGAATGTTTTTACAGTATTACGGCTTCACGGTACAGGGACGACGCTACAGGAGAGAAGTCCAGGTGTGGTTAAGATGCCAGGGGAGTCCTTGGGGTCGGGGGAGTCCTGGGGTCGGGGAGTCCTTGGGGTCGGGACCCCCCCTTTTTTATTAGAAAATTCCAACAATTTTTTCTTAGTGCAGTATGGTACTCAGGCGTCTTTGTATAGTAAAAGTAATTACTATTAACTTCAGAATACCTCTTAATATCAAGTGCACATGGCTTCAAAATGGCCCCCAAAATGCCCAGCTGAGTGGGCTCGCTATGTTCGCCATATTCCGCCATTCACTTTTTCTTGACCCCCTTTGACATTCCTGGATTAGCCCCTGTTGTACAGGAGCAGTCTAAGTATAATGGCGCCTGACACTCGGAACACAAGTCTGTCATGGTGTGGTACAAGTCAGGTGCCGTCTTGCTGTTTCTTACATTCATCTGTCAAAACACAGGTGCTTGCCTAAGCTCTCACCTCTCCAGTAATTACAAAAAAATACATAAATAGGAAACTCTGATTATTATTAGAAACACGCCAGAAAGCATCGTTTTAGGACAATTGTTAGAATTTTTTTTTCAGGGGAGACATAGTCTTGCAGGCTCTCTCTCTCTCACATTGAGATGAAGGGTTGTGAAACATCCTTGAATATCCTCCAAATGTAATCCTACCAGCACGCGTGAGCCAAAAGGTGTTCACTGTGTATGTTGCCGCCCACAAGGTGTTCACTGTGTGTGTAGCCGCCCACAAGGTGTTCACTGTATGTGTAGCCGCCCACAAGGTGTTCACTGTGTGTGTGTAGCCGTCCACAAGGTGTTCACTGTGTGTGTTGCCTGTTCACTGTGTGTAGCCGTCCACAAGGTGTTCACTGTGTAGCCGCCCACAAGGTGTTCACTGTGTGTGTTGCTGCCCACAAGGTGTTCACTGTGTGTGTAGCCGTCCACAAGGTGTTCACTGTGTGTGTAGCCGTCCACAAGGTGTTCACTGTGCGTGTAGCCGCCCACAAGGTGTTCACTGTGTGTGTAGCCGTCCACAAGGTGTTCACTGTGTGTGTAGCCGCCCACAAGGTGTTCACTGTGTGTGTTGCCGCCCACAAGGTGTTCACTGTGTGTAGCCGTCCACAAGGTGTTCACTGTGTGTAGCCGCCCACATGTGTTCACTGTGTGTGTTGCTGCCCACAAGGTGTCTCACTGTGTGTGTAGCCGTCCACAAGGTGTTCACTGTGTGTGTTGCCGCCCACAAGGTGTTCACTGTGTGTGTTGCTGCCCACAAGGTGTTCACACTGTGTGTGTTGCCGTCCACAAGGTGTTCACTGTGTGTGTAGCCGTCCACAAGGTGTTCACTGTGTGTGTTGCCGCCCACAAGGTGTTCACTGTGTGTGTAGCCGTCCACAAGGTGTTCACTGTGTTGCCGCCCACAAGGTGTTCACTGTGTGTGTTGCCGCCCACAAGGTGTTCACTGTATGTGTAGCCGCCCACAATATGTCCGCTATGTTTGTCCAGTAGATGGCTATAACACAAGGGAACTGTCCACCACGTCCACACATTAACTCACCCTGGATGGACACTCATTACAGCATCAATCATCACTTAAATTATACACACAAGAGTTAATCAAATTAACACTGCGACAGACCCATCCACTACATATACGATAACAATATTTTAAACTCAATCACAACTCAAACGACCTACTCAATATTGCCACCACTACTGCCACTTACCATCAGCACAAGGGACCCTGACCCACCACAGCAGCTTCTGAATTTCCCGCCACGCAGTGTAAGTCCCATACTCATTCATACCTCGGACTAACACTATGCGAAACTTTCTGTCACATAGTGTTCTTTTCCAGTCGTATAATCTGCAATAGTTAAAATCATTCTGGTTCAGATATTCTCAGTGTCTTGGAAAGGGGGTAACGAGACAGCGACACTACAGGTAATGTTTGCAAGGCTGTCTTGACGTATGGATGGATTTAAAAGTAATTCATTATACACATCCCTACACATCCCCCTACACACCCCAACACATTGTATACCGCCACCTACTACCCCACACATCCCCCCCAAACACTGCTACACATCCCACATCCCCCCTCACACGCCCTAACACATCACACACATCCCTCACAAACACTCCTACACATTCCACGCATTCCCCCAAAAAACCCACATCCCCCCTACACATTTCCACACCCACCACCCACCACAAGCACACTTCCTGTCGTACATATTAACTAGCAATGACACAGCATATAACTTGTTTTCTATATAAGGTTACCAACGTTGGCGAACACCTGAAAAACTTGTCCTGTGGTACATTCGGAAAACCCCATTGTTGTGGCTATTTGCGTCCTTACCCAGTATAATAATAATAATAATAATAATAATAATAATAATAATAATAATAATAATAATAATAATAATAATAATTTTACTTTCATCATTGCTTACATAAACAAACTCACGGCAAGAAAAACCACAAATAATCATCACACAAACACCGAGGTTCGACCTTCACTGTGAAACTGATCTAGCGAGAAAAAAAAAATAACATTTTCAATACGATTCTATTTTATTTACATTGTGTGTGACGCTCATTCATATACTTATTCTTACTGTTGTGTTACGTTAATAATTATTCTTTTCTTACTTAGCCTTTCTATATGAACATACGTTTACGGTGATAATACTGACGTTATATAATATGGCTGACTGTCTGTGTGTCTGAGCTTAATGTGACGCCTGGTAGCTGGTGGTCTAGATTAGTACAGACACTAGAATTGAGATAATTGGTAGATATGTAACTAAAATGGCATTAACCCCTTGAGTACGATAACCCTAACCCCTTGAGTACGATGACAACCCCCTGAGTATGATGATAACCCCTTGAGTACGATGATAACCCCTTGAGTACGATGACAACCCCTCGAGTACGATGATAACCCCTTGAGTACGATGACAAACCCTTGAATGCGATAAGCCTAACCCCTAAAGTACATTGACAGTAAGGTTTCGTACTCAAGGGGTTAACGCCATCGTACTCAAGGGGTTAATCCCATCGTACTCAAGGAATTAAACCAAAGAGGCAAAGCGACGGGATATACCGTAGCAGAGAAAGATGTGAAGGCCCTCGGTATAAGGAACTATACAAACTGCACTATACCGTATGTGAAGGCCCTCGGTATAAGGAACTATACAAACTGCACTATACCGTATGTGAAGGCCCTCGGTATAAGGAACTATACAAACTGCACTATACCGTATGTGAAGGCCCTCGGTATAAGGAACTATACAAACTGCACTATACCGTATGTGAAGGCCCTCGGTATAAGGAACTATACAAACTGCACTATACCGTATGTGAAGGCCCTCGGTATATGAACTATACAAACTGCACTATACCGTATAAGTTTACCGACACCACGGAATATCGTCGGCTTCATATGGACAGCTCATCGTTAGTAATAAGTCTTGTAAAATAACCTATACCCAAAAATTGGTTCCTATTATCGGTATCTGCGGTATATCTAATGTAAAAAGTTTACATGCACTTACGTTAATGGTTGATGGAGTAGTGTTGTTCACCTTGTTTGTTTACATGTGACGTCATTACCACGTGGTCAGTCCTTCATCACCTTCCTTGAAGTTGTCTAGATGTAAGGAGGAGGAGGAGGAAAATAACTGTTAATATAACGGGAAATACTTTAACGGTGTATTATAGAGAAGGGAGAATAGGGAGGGTGGTGATAGGTTAGGTTAGCGGGTCAGCATGGGGTTTTAGCACTTGTGTTTCTCGTTGGAGATATATCGTCTCCAGTCTCACCACGAACCCCGAGATTCAGGCTCGTGAACCCAAGCAGTAGACACTGATACATTATTCTGTCCATAAATGCTTGGATTCAAGAGTCTGAATTCGTCATGGTCTTGACAGGATCTGGAGATCAAACAAGATATAAAGTACCGAATTAACAGTTACCAAAGTCAATAATGATAAAACTTTTGTTTATATTGATAGAGAAAGAAGATAATTATTTATAAGAGAAGTAACACAAAACACAGACTGACCTTAACCGTAAACACAACAGAATACTGATACAAGTCACATGTGATCGACTTTAGTTGATGTTGATACAAAGCTTCCACTGTGAGAGCTGTATTACTGACATTAATTGTAGATAATGTTAAAGTCTTATGTGAACGATCCTCAATGTTGTTTTAGGTGTATCAAGTCACTGGGATGTTTGATGCCGTTCGTTAATCTTGTTTTGTTTGTAACAGAAAGACAGCAAGAGTTAACTGAAGCGTGACCAGGGGCGCCTGGCAGCTGTACCACCCACAAAAAAAAACATTAATAGTACGAGAAATACGGAAGAAAGAATTCATTGTTAAAGTCACTTGTCAGAGGCAGCTTAAAAGAAGCGATAAACAGCAACTCTGTAAAGCTATATAAATACTTTGAATATTCTAAATTATTGTAACAAAGAAAAAAAGAGAGTAAAACCTAGGTTATGTTAGACAGCCAAGCATCACCTTGGTGGTCTGACCGCTAAATGGGTCGTACAGTGAGGACAACACCCTTGTTTTGACTCACCTCGCGGCAATTGTCTTATGAAAGCAGGGAAGTTATTGCTCAAGGCAGAGATAATTTCCAACATGAGACTTGATCCTACACACCTGTCAGTTACATACAAGTATAATCAAGTAATCAATGCTCTGCGCAGTGACAAGTCCTCGGCCATGTTTCACCTCGCATTAATTCTACATAAGGAGCAGGTGGAGTTAATATTCCTTAAAAAATCCCATATACATGATTCACCAAAGACGGGTAACTGACTGAAGGTTGACTCCATCATGAAGTGACTTGCGGTGAGAGAGTGCAGTGTGTAAAGCGGAAAAGTTTACTTCTCGCATCATTTAACTTATTTTACAAACCAACCTCCTTCCACCTAGTGTCTCACCCAACCACGTCCCTCCACCTCGTGTCTCACCCACCCACGTCCCTCCACCTCAGCTCACCCACCCACGTCCCTCCACCTCGTGTCTCAACCCACTCCACGTCCTCCCACCCACGTCCCTCCACCCCGTGCCCCACCCACCCACGTCCCTCCACCCTGTCCCCACCCACGTCCCTCTCCACATCCCACCCACCCCACCCGTGTCTCACCCACCCACGTCCTCCACCCAGTGTCTCAACCCACGTCCCTCCACCCTGTGTCCACCCACGTCCCTCCACTCTGTCTCACCCACCCACGTCCCTCCACCCCTGTGTCTCACCCACCCACGTCCCTCCACTGTGTCTCACCCACCCACGTCCCTCCACCTCGTGTCTCACCACCACGTCCCTCCACATCCGTGTCTCACCCACCCACGTCCCTCCACCTGTGTCCCCACCCACCCACGTCCTCCACCCAGTGTCTCACCCACCCACGTCCCTCCACCTCGTGTCCCCACCCAACATCACACTCCACCTAGTGTCTCACCCACCCACGTCCCTCCACCTCGTGTCTCACCCACCCACATCCCTCCACCTCTGGTCTCACCCACCCACATCCCTCCACCGTGTCTCACCCACCCACGTCCCTCCACCTCGTGTCTCACCCACCCACGTCCCTCTCCACCTCGTGTCTCACCCACCCACGTCCTCCACATCGTGTCTCACCCACCCACGTCCCTCCACCCTGTCTCACCCACCCACGTCCCTCCACCTCGTGTCCCACCCACCCACGTCCCTCCACCCTGTGTCTCCACCCACCCACGTCCCTCCACCTAGTGTCTCACCCACCCACGTCCTCCACCTCGTGTCTCACCCACCCATGTCCCTCCACCTGCATCTCACCCACCCACGTCCCTCCACCTCGTGTCCCCACCCACCCACGTCCCTCCACCTCGTGTCTCACCCACCCACGTCCCTCCACATAGTGTCTCACCCACCCACGTCCCTCCACCTCGTGTCTCACCCACCCACGTCACTCCACCCAGTGTCCCACCCACCCACGTCCCTCCACCTCGTGTCCCACCCACCCACATCCCCTCCACCTGTGTCCACCCACCCACATCCCTCCACCCTGTGTCTCACCCACCCACGTCCCCCACCTCGTGTCCCACCCACGTCCCTCCACCTGTGTCCACCCACCCACGTCCCACCGTCCACCCACCCACGTCCCCCAACCCGTGTCTCACCCACCCACATCCTCCACCCCGTGTCCCACCCACCCACGTCCCTCCACCCAGTGTCTCACCCACCCACGTCCCCCTCCACCCTGTGTCCCATCCACCCAGTCCCTCCACCCTGGTCTCACCCACCCACGTCCCTCCACCCCGTGTCTCACCCACCCACGTCCCCCCACCCTGTGTCTCACCCACCCACCTCCCCACACCCCGTGTTCCACCCACCCACGTCCCTCCCCTCGTGTCCACCCACCCATCCCTCCACCCCGTGTCTCACCCACCCACGTCCCTCCACCTCGTGTCCCATCCACCACGTCCCCTCCACCTCAGTCCCCATCCACCCACGTCCCCACATCGTGTCTCACCCACCCACGTCCCTCCACTCGTCTCACCCACGTCCCTCCACCTAGTGTCTCACCCACCCACGTCCCTCCAGGTCCCACCCACGCACCCCACACCCACCCACGTCCCTCCACCCCCGTGTCCCACCCACCCACGTCCTCCACCCCGTGTCCTCACCCACCCAGGGTCCCTCCACCTCGTGTCCACCCACCCACGTCCCTCCACCTGTCTCACCCACCCACCTCCCCACACCCTGTGTCCCACCCACCAACGTCCCTTCCTCTCATGTCTCTCACCCACCCCGTGTCCCCACCTAACGTCCCTCCACCCCATCCACCCACGTCCCCACCCCTGCTGTCTCAACCCAACCCCTCCACCCTGTGTCCCACCCACCCACGTCCCACCCTGTGTCCCCACCCACCACCCTCCTCCCCGTGTCCCCACCCACCCACGTCCTCCACCCTGTGTCCCACCCACCCACGTCCCTCTCCACACCTCGTGTCTCACCCACCCAGGGTCCCCTCCACCCGTGTCTCACCCACCCACCTCCTCCACCTCGTGTCCACCCACCCACCTCCACCTCCAGTTCCCCATCCACCCACGTCCTCCAACCCACCCACGTCCACACCCACGTCCCTCCTGGTCCCAACGTCCCTCCACCCTGTCCCACCCACCCTCCACCCCTGTGTCCCACCCACCCACGTCCCTCCACCGTGTCTCAACCCACCCACGTCCTCCACCCCTGTGTCCCCACCCACCCACGTCCCTCCCCAGTCCCCACCCACCACGTCTCTCCACCCTGTGTCCCACCCACCCACGTCCCTCCACCCCGTTCTCACCCACCCACCTCCACCCTGTCCACTCAACTCCACTCCCTCCACCTGTGTCTCACCCACCCACGTCCCCCACCCCCACCCACCCACCTCCACCCCAGTCCCACCCACCCACTCCCTCCACCCTGTCCCACCCACCCACGTCCCTCCACCCCTGTGTCCCACCCACCCATCCTCCACCTGTCCTGCTCCACCCACGTCCCCTCCACCTGTGTCCACCCACCCACGTCCCTCCACCCGTGTCCCCACCCACCCACGTCCCTCTCTCCACCTCGTGTCTCACCCACCCATCTCCACTGTCCTACCCACCCACCTCCTGCCCACCCACGTCCCTCCACCTGTGTTCCCAACGTCCTCCACCCCTGTCTCATCCACCCACCCTCCCCACCTCGTGTCCCATCCACCCACCTCCCAACCCTGTGTCCACCCACCCCTCCACCCTGTGTCCCACCCACCCACCTCCACTCTGTGTCCCACCCACCCACCTCCCTCCACCGTGTCTCATCCACCCACGTCCCTCCACCGTGTCCCACCCACCCACCTCCCTCCACCTCGTGTCCTCACCCACCCACCTCCACCTCGTGTCTCACCCACCCACGTCCCTCCACCTGTGTCCCATCCACCCACCTCCTCCACCCTGTGTGTCTCCACCACCCTCCCCACCCCAACCCCACCCACCCACCCTCCACCTGTGTCCCACCCACCCACCCTCCCTACCTCAGTCCCCATCCACCCACCTCCAACCCCACCCATCCACCTCCACCCTGTGTCTCATCCACCCACCTCCCTCCACCTCGTGTCCCACCCACCCACCTCCCTCCACCCTGTATCTCACCCACCCACCCTCCACCCCGTGTCTCATCCACCCACCTCCCTCCACCTCGTGTCTCACCCACCCACCTCCCTCCACCTCGTGTCTCACCCACCCCACCTCCACCTCGTGTCTCATCCACCCACCTCCCTCCACCTCGTGTCTCACCCACCCACCTCCACCCTGTGTCTCACCCACCCACCTCTCCACCTCTTATCAGTTCATTTTACGATCTCTTCACAGCCTCCTCTTCCTCCTCCTCCTCTTCTCGTCACACCACAACCGGATCTTCTCAGCCTTGTATATCTCCTACAGGGTGTCTCAAAAAATATTATACACGCTTCACATATTTTCGTAGACGTCGCGTGAGTTCTTGTATCATGACCTTATACATCAAGTGGGGACAATTTTCCTGTTGTAATACATTCAAATCATTACAACGAAATATATGTGAGGTATAGTGTTTTTTTTCTGACACACCCTGTATTATTACTAA